ATAAAGCTGGTATAAACATCCATGTACAGGTTTTTTTGTGAACATGTTTTCAATTTATATAGGTAAATACTAAGCAGCATGATTGCTAATGGTGTGATAAGAATATGTTTAGTTTTCTAAGAAACTGTCAAAGTATCCCAAAATGGCTGTAACACTTTGCATTCCCACCATCAATGAATGAGAGTTCCTGTTGCTCCACATCCTCTCCAACATTTTGTGTTGTCAGTGTTTTGGATTCTTGTAATTCTAATAGGTATGTGGTTGTATCTCGTTTTAATTTGAAATTTCATAATGATGTATGATGTGAGCATCTTTTCATATGCATCTCATCTTCTTTGGTGAGGTGTCTGTATAGATCTTTTGCCCATTTTTTAATCATGTTGTTCATTTTCTTATTGTTGAATTTTAAGAGTTCTTTGTATATTTTGTATAATTGTCTTTTATCAGATATGTCTTTTGCAAATATTTTCTCCCAGTTTGTGGCTCACCTGCTTATTCTCTTGACAGTTCTTTCACAGAGCAGAAGTTTTTAATTTTAATAAAGTGCAATTTATCAATTTTTTATTTCACGGATCATACCTTTGGTATTGTACCTAAAAATTCAGTCATCATCATACCCAATATTGTCTAGGTTTTCTCCTATGTTATTGTCTAGATGTTTTATAGTTTCACACTTTACATTTAGGCTTATGATCCATTTTAATTTCATTTTTGTAAAGGGTATAACATATGTGTCTAGAATCTTTTTTTTAGTGTGGATATCCAGTTGTTCCAGCACCACTTATTAAAAGGACAATCTTTTCTCCATTGCTCCTTTATCAAAGATCAGTTGACTATATTTGTGTGGATCTACTTCTGGGCTCTATTTTGTTCCACTGATTTGTCTATTCTTTCATCAATACTACACTCTTTTGATTACTGTAGTTTTATAGTAAGTCAAAGTCAGGGAGTGTTAATCCTCTGATGTTCTTTTCCTTTAATATTGTGTTGGCTTGTTGGCTCTTCTGGGTCTTTTGCCTCTTTTCATAAATCAGTTTAGAATCAATTTGTTGATATCCATTAAATAACTTTCTGGGATTTTGATGGAATTGCCTTGACTATAGATCAAGTTGGGAAGAACTGACATCTTGACAATATCAAGTCTTCCTATCCATGAACATGGAATATCTCTGCGTTAATTTAGTTACTTTTTTATTTCTTTCATCAGAGTTTTTTATAGTTTTTCTCATGTATATACATATCTTCTACATATTTTGTTAGATTAATGCCTGAGTTGTTCACTGTGGGGGTGCTAATATAAATGGTATTTTAAATTTCAAATTCCACTTGTTTAGTGCTGGTATATTTTAAAAAGTGATTGAATTTTGTAAATTAACTTTATATCCTGTGACTTTGCTATAATTAGTAATTAGTATGATTACTTCCAGGAGTTTTTTATTATTGATTCTTTCAGATTTTCTACATAGATAATCATGTCATCTGTGAACAAAGACAGTTTTATTTCTTCCTTCCAAATATGTATACATTTTATTTCCTTTTTTGTCTTTTTGCCTTAGCTGGGACTTCCAGTCCAGTGTTGAAAAGGAGTGGTGAGGGAGACATCCTTGCCTTTTTCCTGTTCTTAGTGGGAAAGCTTTGAGTTTCTCACTGTTAAGTATGTTGTTAGCTATCAGTTTTTTGTAGATGTTCTTTGTCAAGTTGAGGAAATTCCTCAGCTATTCCTAGTTTGCTGAGAATTTTAATCATGAATAGGTATTGGATTTTGTCAAATGCTTTTTCTGCATCTACTGATATGATCATGTGACTTTTCTTCTTTAGCTTATTGATGTAATAGGTTACATTAATTGATTTTTGAATTTTGAGGCAACCTTGTATATCTGAATAAATCCCACTTGATCGAGGTATAGAATTCTTTTTATACATTGTTGGATTAAATTTGCTAATATTTTGTTGAGGATTTTTGCATCAATGTTCATGAGCGATATCGGTATGTAATTTCCTTTTCCTGTAATGTCTTTGTCTGGTTTTGGTATTAGAGTTATGCTGCCCTCATGAAATGGTTTAGGAAGTATTCCCTCTACTTCCGTCTTCTGGAAGAGATTGTAGAGAATTGATGTCATTTCTTCCTTAAATGCTTGGTAGAATTCACCACTGAACTCATCTGGGCACAGTGTTTTCTGTTTTGAAAGGTTATTCACTATTGATTCTTTGATTTACTATTGATTTCTTTAATAGATATAGACCTGTTCTGATTGTGTGTTTCTTATTCTGTGACTTTTAGCAGATTTTGTCTTCAAGGAATTGGTACATTTCATCTAGGTTATAAAATTTGTGGGCATAAGGTTGTTCAAAATATTCCTTTATTATCCTTTTAATGTCCATGGGATCTATAGTGATGTCCCTCTTTCATTTCTGATATTAGGAATTTGTGTCTTCTCTCTTTTTTTCTTATTTAGCCTGGCTGGAGGCTTATCAGTTTTATTGATCTTGAAAAAAAAACAGCTTTTGGTTTTGGTGACTTTCTCTTTAGATTTCTTGTTTTCAATTTTATTGATTTCTCATCTAGCTTTTTTCTAAATTTTATTTCTCTCCTTTTGCTTACTTTGGATTTAATTTGTTCTTTTTCTAGTTTCTTAAGATGGAAATTTAAGATTTATTGCTTTTAGATCTTTCTTCTTTTCTAATATATGCATTCAGTGCTATAAATTTCTACCTAAGCACTGCTTTGCTGCATCCCACAAATTTTAAGTTATATTTTCATTTAGTTCAAAATATTTTTAAATTTCTTTCAAGATATCTTCTTTAGCCTAAGTGTTATTTACAAGTGTGTGGTTTAATCGCCAAATATTTTGGAGTCTTCCAGTTATCTTTCTGTTACTGATATCTAGATTAATTCTCTTGTGGTCTGAGAGCATACATTGTATAATTTTTATTCTTTTAAATTTGTTAATGTGTTATTCATGGCCCAGAATGCAGTCTTTCTTGGGAAATATTCCATATGAGCTTGAGAAGAATGTGTATTCTGCTCTTGTAGGATGAAGTAGTCTATAGTTTTCAGTTATATCTAGTGGTTGATGGTGCTGTTGAGAACATTTATTCTAAGAAAAGGGTCTCAGTTTTTATTAGATTGTTGGTGGAGTCCATGACCTACAGAACTTCAAGGAGCTCTGTTCTGAATATTGTAAGGAGTAGTCTTTCTCCTCCCTTCTCCCGTGGTCTGAACTAATGTCCAAAGCTCTGTCCATGTGCATAATTGGGAGCATCTGGTGGTTCTTCACTCTGGAGCCTTAAAATTTGCACTTCTAATAAGTTCCCAGGAGATGCTGATGCTACTGGTCCCAGGACCACACTTTGAGAACCACTCATCTCCCACCATGCAAGGAGTAAATGATATAACATATATAAAATATTTGGTATAATTCCTACCACTAATGAACATTAAATTTATGGTAGTGATTGTCAGTATTGTTGGTATTATTATAAACTGGGGATAATAATACTTGCTCATGGGATTGTTGTAAGGATTAAATGAGTTAATCCATGAATGTGCTTCCAAGTGCCCCAGACACTTTAATCCCTCAGTAAAAGTCAGCTTTTAAAATGATTAATTATTACTAGTACTGTAGTAAGGGTTCTCCTAGTAATGGCCTGCTGGACTAAGGGAACCCATAAAAACATGGTAGAACTTTGACACATGGATCAGCTATGGGCATTCAAGAAGCATCGACTATATGCAAAGCTCTTGGGGAACAGAGAGTTTGAATCCTTTAAGGATCTTTCCCACAGATTGAAAACTCAGATGCCTTTGGAGGCAGGAAGGAAACAGAAATAAAGGAAGCAGTAGCGATAAGGCAGTAGGGGATGGTAGAACCTGGGCAAACTGGAAATGACATGTTGTACCTAAAAGAAAAAAATGTATAGTGGTCAAATATATATATGTGACTAACAATCACCTATGGCCTGTGGTGACCCATGCTCAAAAGAAGAGACTGCATGCGACTTCCCTGGTGGTGCAGTGGTTAAGAATCTGCCTGCCAATGCAGGGGACATGGGTTTGAGCTCTGGTCCGAGAAGATCCCACATGCTGCGGAGCAACTAAGCCCGTGTGCCACAACTACTGAAGCCCACGCGCTCTAGGGCCCCCATGCTGCAACTATTGAAGCCAACACACCTAGAGCCCGTGCTCTGGAACAAGAGAAGCCACCGCAGTGAGAAGCTTGCACATCACAATGAAGAGTAGCCCCGCTTGCCACAACTAGAGAAAGCTCGCATGCAGCAACAAAGACCCAAAGCAGCCAAAAATAAAAATGTATATACAAGTAAATAAATAAATTTTTTTTAAAAAAAAAAAGAAGGGACTGCATAGGCAGGTTGTTTGTGGCTGATGAGAGAGAGATGGAAATGGCCAGAACCACAGGAGTTCAGTAGGCAAAGGGCACAAGATGATTGAGTAAGGGCATCAGTGAAGCCTTTCCACAGTTGGTGAGCCTGACTGGAACTGCGCCTTAATGGGGAGAGAGGATTTGGAGAAGCTGTGAGGAAGTTGGCCTCCTCACTGAGTTGGAAGCTTGAGGTAGGCCTTTGGCCTCCCTCTTCTCTGCACTAGCACATAGTAGGTGCTCATTAAGCAGTGAGTGAATTCCTGATGGGATAAATTGTTGATGGAGTGAGAGATTTCCTTTTGGAATGATTGGGGGGATTTTAAACACATCTCCAGAAGCTCTTAGAGAGACAGTCTGCTGTCATCATAGCTGACTGGCCTGAATTTGAATCCGACCTTATCTTGGAGCCTTGATTTACTTGCTATGTGACACTGGACAAGAAATTACTTTCTCTGAGCCTTAGCTTTCTTAATCTGTGAACTGATGATAGTAATTACTATCTCAGATTGGTTGCAAGGATCATAGAGGGTATAACTATGAATTTAGCCTTCCCTTCCTTTTCTAGGTTCTTTGAAAAAGAACATCAGACTCCCAGTTCCCACCTCTGCTTTCACTTCCAGAGAAAAAGATCCCAATTGCAATATCTTACTCTCAATATAAGGAAGACCTGACAGAGGACAAGAAGATGCTTTTGGCTGCCATGTACCTTGTCACCAAGGGAGAGAAGCTCCTGGTGGAGAAGGACATTACTCTGGAGGACTTCATCATTATTAAGGTGACTCCTGTAAGCTGTTCCTGGCAGGCCTCCGTCAGAGCTGGGGGAGGGCATCAGAGGCTGGGGGTTTGTACTTTTAGCTCTGGCTTCAGCTCTCAAAGGTTGGAATAAGTGGTGTGGATGCAGGAGTATGGATATAATGATAGATCTCAGTAATGGGGTAGGTGGAAGCAAGGGGTAGACAAGTTTAACTCCCCATCCTCTGACCCAGCCAAGATCATGGGTTTCCTGGGAGAATGGGGAGGATGGGAGTTGACTTATGGGTACTGCCCCTCCAGGTGCTTGGCCCAGCCGCGGTGGGGGTGGAAGTGATGGTGGTCAACCCCCTCTCGGAGAGAGTGCAGGACTGTATGCTGATGGTGGAGGGCAGTGGCCTTCCCCAGGGACAGCTCAGCATCGAGTAAGTGTCAGCCTGGGGTGGGAGGGCTGCTTATAGCCCTTCCTTATAAAATGGGCCATAAAGACACTGCCAGCAGGGGGAGGAGGAAGAGATTCTGGATCCCCAGGAACCAGCCCACTGCCTAGACACATCAGCCTTTCTTCATTTATTCATTTCTTTATTTAATAATTAACTTATTTGGTCATATAACTTGTCCACTCATTCACATTCATATTTTCTTTCATTTATCCATTTACTTATTCATTCACTCACTCTTATTCATTTACTCTCTCCTTCACTCATTCATTCACACTTTTTTTCATGTTTTCACTCATTCATTCATGTATTTATCTACTCAGCTCAGTTTTGACTGGTTCATTCATCCACTCATTCTTTCTTTAATTTGCTCACTCATTTACCTATTCATTCACTCATTCATTCATGTATGCATTCATTCACACATATTCTATTTATCAGTGTACTCATTTATTTACTTATTCTCAATCATTCACTCATTTATTCATTCATTCACTCACTCACACTCATCTGGTCCTTCATCATATTGGCCTGTGCTCTGACCCACCTGTCAACTGTTGGGAACACCAAGATGAACAGATGCGGTTCTGCCTGAAGAAGGACTCTCAGCAATATATGGCTCTTCAAATGAAAACAGTGTGATTTGTACAAAGGGATGGACCCTCAAGGTCCAAAAGCTTAGAGATAGCCCTTGAGTTGGGATTGGGTGGGACCAGGGGAAAGCCCCAATGGAGCTAGTATTTAAACTGGGGCTTAAGTGATGAATTGAGGAGATTTTCAGGGATCAAGAAGGATGGAGAACTTCCCAGTCAGAGGTCTCCATGGCTGGTATAGTCAGGGAAGGTCTCCTGGAAGAAGAAAAACTAATCTGGGCCTCAGATGTAATTGGAATGGGAAGGGCACTCTAGGTAGGACGAACAGACCAGACAAAAGCCCAGAGGAGGGGAAGTGTAAGGTATGTTCAGGGCACAGGGAGGAGACTAGCCTGACTGGTTGAAAGAAGCAAGAAGTGGTAGAAGGGATAACTAAGCTGAAGCATATTGAAAGGCTTGAATGTCAAGCCACAAGGTGTGACCTTGATCCTAAGTGCTCTGGAGAGCTGTGGACTGGCAGACCAGGTTCAGGAAGGAGACAGAGCTGAAGGTCTGCCTTTCTCCCATCTCCCCAGTGTGCCCAGCCTGCAGCCCCAAGAGAGGGCCTCAGTCCAATTCAACATCATCCCCTCCAAGAGTGGCCCACGGCAGCTGCAGGTGGACCTTGTCAGCTCCCACTTCCCAGACATCAAGGTCTTTGTGATCATCCACGTGGCCACAGCCAAATTATGGGCCATGGGGGGCCAAGAGTGGAGGAGATGTCCCCTGTTCTCCTCCTGTCCACCTCTCTGCCCTTCCCATATGGGAGCCAGGAGGTCTGGGTTCCAGTCCTGATTCAGCTTCTGCCCTACTCTGTGAACTTGGGCAAGTCCTTCCCCTCCTGGGCCTCAGTGTCCCTATATGTAAAATGAGGTGTTAGACTCAGTAACCCTTAAACTTTTGGACAATGATGGATGATATAAGGAGCCACTACCACCTTCATCTCATCACCCTCATTGCTGATGGACTAATGGACTGAGAGTCACAGTAACCTTGGCCCACCCGGCTGTGCCACCTCCTGCCAGCCAGTTCACCGTCACCCTGGCTGACCCCTGCACTATCCTTGCTTGTCTCTCAACTCTTCAATGCTCTGACCACAGCAAGATCAAGAATATTCTCCAAGCTCTGACAGAGAACCCAAAAGTTTTGGCACTGACACCTAAATATCCCTCAACACTCCTGTCTTACACAGAGGGGACAGTCTAGCCTATGGCCACGGGGTAAGCTAGAGACAGAGCTGGGGCCCTTGTGCATGCCATTTACATCAGCAAAGTTTTACCCCAAAGTCATGTTCCTGAAAAGCATTGGGTTTAAAGTGATGGGAGAATTTCCCTCAATGAAGACACAGGCCCAGCAACTGAAGCTGGGGAGGGGGAACGCGTGGGGAAGGGAGTGATTACTGCTGCCTGAAAGAAGCTGAAGAAAGAGGAAGGACCATCAAGCCCAGCTGAGTTTGGGGATAGAGCCCCAAATCTGATCTAGCTATGGTCATCAGGGATCTCGTACAACCAACCCAGCTACACCCAATGTTCATTTACTTCTTTGGAACCAGAACAGTGTTGCCTTTGAAAAACATCCCCAGCAGCTTACCCTACACACAATCACTCTCTTAGCATCAAAGCAGAACAGAGACTACTAGGATGAGGACAAGAGTGGAGACCATCAGGCCCTGAAGATAACTGCATCAGACATAGAAATCAGCTCCGAAATGCTCTAGATAGCCAAGGAATTATAACTAAGCATGCAATTTAAATAATCTGAACGACAACAAAACAGGCACATCTGCAGTGAGACATCTCCTGGTCATGACTCAGGTGAGAACAATTCATGAAGGGGGTCAGGCAAACACACAGACTTTTGCATGACCTTTGTGACCTAAGCCTTAATGAAGACATTTCTGTGATGATTCCACACAGCATGGGGACAGCTTGGAGAATCCAGATGAGTGGATGCATTTAATGAGTCAGGCCCTCAGCTCCAGGACTCCTCTCCAAACCATCCAAAGGTTTTGGTTGCTGATCCTGTATAAAAAGGGCAGCTGGAGGTTCAGAGCAGGCAGCCATTTCCTCAAATTTGAGCAACAGGAAGGAGCCTTGGGGGCTGAAGTCAACAGGAGGCCATCTCCCACTCTTAGTACAAAGGACACACCTGTCAGGAGGGAGACCGAGATGGTCTCCCCTTGGGGGGGGCCCCAGACACCTCACTCTCCCCACAAACACCAACTGCCCGTCTTCCTTAAGCTCGGCTGTCATAGGCTGAGTTTCCAAGGAAGCTGAGTCTGAGATGGAGCTTAGGGTGCAGGGTGTTGACTGAGGGATGACATTGGGATCAACCCCCATGGAAGGGAGGGGGAGGAAGAAGGCGGAAGGAACCAGAGGAGAAATCGGCCCATGATTCAGGCCCAGTGAAGCCTGGGTGCACCCCACGGGCAGCTCTGAAGCTTGTATGGCCTGTCAGAGTGTGTGTATTTGAATAAGGGAAAGTAGCTGAAGGTGATGGGGTCACCTGCCGGGTAGCTGCAGCTCCAGTTCAGCCCCCTTGTCCTCACACCTCTCAGCTGGGCTGAGGTAGCACTTCACTGGGACCAAACTGGCCTCACAGGTCCTTCTAGCTCCAGCTGAAAGCAGAAGCCACTGCAGCAGCCAGTGAGAATACCCTGGTCAGGACTGGGATAGGTGGGGACGTTGAGCAAAGATAGCCCAAGGGGGACTGTGGATGGAAATGCTACTTTTGAAGCTGCAAAGAAAAATGTGCAGGTAGGGATTACCTGTCAGTTGATAGGGCAACACCTTGATAGTGCCCTTCATGGAGGAAGGCAGAACATATAGTTTAAGACTGCAAAACCTTAGAGTCAGCTGGCCATGGGGACCCAGAACGACACCAGCAACCTGAGACTCAGCCCCCCCCCCCCGCTGCTTCCTTTAAGTCCCCTTGGTCTCTTAAATGCTGCCTTCAGGGAAGCTCTTGACACTGAGTTAGGTCATAATCTGGCTTTCACATGCCAGAGAAGCCTTTAGAACAGCAGTTGGCTAGCTTTTACTGTCAAGGACCAGATAGTAAATATCTGGGGCTTTGCAGACCATATGGTCTCTGTTCCAACTACTCCACTCTGCTGTCATGGTGTGCAAGCAGCCATAGACTAGGGGTAGACAAATGAGTGTGGATGTGTTGCAATAAAACTTTATTTACAAAAACAGGCAACAGGCCAGGTTTGGCCCACAGGTTGGGCTTTGCTGACCCTGCTGCAGAACAACATGTTGGTTCAGCTGCTTGCTCCAGGACTGAGTCCTGATGCCAGGGTATACCAAGCCTAGGATCAAGCCCAGACTTGAACTGAGGCCAAGCCCTGAGCAAACCCCACAAGGAAACTCAGATGAGGTTCCAGCTTGTGCTCATGACCTTAGATAGAGCCATCACTATCCATGACTGCCTAGACTTAGTCATGACCATGATGCTAGAATAAGTCCTATACCTTGACCTCACACTAAGTCCTGGCTCCTACCACAGCTAACCCATGACTTGACTGGCCCTAGATCAAGCCCTGACCCAGCCCCAGACATTCCTGGCCCCAGACTGAGCTTCAATCCTGATATCTGATTGAGCCCTGAACCCAGGTTGAACCCTGGTCCCAAACAGAACTCTGGTACCGGACTGAGCTCTGACCCCACCCTGAGCCCTGATCCAGTCTCATTCCAAGTCCTGATCTCAATCAGACCCCAGCCAGATTGAGCTCTATGCCTTGGATTTCTCATGCAGATCTGAGTTTCTCAAATGGGGGCCCACACACCCCTCCAGGATATTTGATGTCACTGGGCAAACATGACCTGTCTTCTTGCACCAGGGATCTGAACTCACCTTCCTTTCCCTTTGAGGTACTTGGGCAGAAATATTTGAGAAGCATGGTGAACCACTGGATCCTCACATCTGTGTCATGCTGTGAGAGTCTGCACTCACAGCCCATCTCTCCAGGAGTAAATATAAAGGCCTGGCAGCTGACCAGGGCCCTCTCTCCACCCCTGTGCATTCACTTCTCTTACGCATTTGCCAAGAGTGGAAGGAGCTCTGCTAAGCACCTGATACCAGAGCAGGAGGTCATCTCCTGCTCTTAGTATAAAGCACACTCCTGTCAGCAGGGAGGCTCCATATGTCATCCAAGATGGTCTCCCCTTGTGGGAGCCCCAGACACCTCACTCTCCCTGCGAACACCAACTCCCTGTCTTCCTTAAGCTTGGCTGTCGCAGGCTGAGCTTCTCAGGAAGCTGAATCTGAGATGGAGCTTAGGGTGCAGGGTATTGACTAAGGGGTGACCTTGGGATCAACCCCCAAGGAAGGGAAGGGGAGGAAGAAGGAGGAAGGGGCCGGAGGAGAAGTCGGCCCATGATGCAGGTCCAGTGACAGCCTGGGCGCACACCCACGGGCAGCTCTGAAGCTAGAATGACCTGTTAGAGTTGTTCCAGGCTTAGCTGAGATGGCTGGGCCTTTCTATGCTTCCATCTGTTACCATTTCGCCTCAGAAGGGGCGTGACTTTTGGCGACTCTACAGCCAAGGCCATCCCTGAAGTGGCCGACAGCTGAGGGTCATCTGCGGGAAGCACTTCTAGCAGTTGGAGAAACAAGCCCTTCACTGAAGGAAAGTCTGGACAGCACATCTGCATGTCCACCACACCTGCGATCTGTTCAATGCAAGGACAGAGCAGTCAGATTCCAAGTTCCCTGCACTCATGGGGATTACCTTCTATGTGGTATACAGAGGTATTCAATACATTTTTAAAGGTATAAAAAGTAAAATGAGAAATACAAGTAAACAAGCAAATTCGTAAATAAATAAGTTAATTCAATTTAGTGACACATGACAAAAAGAAAATAAAACAGAAGGCCACCTCTCCCCAAATGGTGGGGAGTTAGATTGTGGCATCAGAGAAAGACTTTCTGAGGAAGTGACGTTTAAGCTGAAATTTCAATAATGACAATAAAATAATGATTAAAAGCCAAATTAGTGTGTTTCCTGGAGAGTTCCTTATATGCCAGAAACTGTTTCAAGGGCTTTGCACATATTAATTTATTTAATGGTGGTAGAGCCCTGGGCAGTGTCCTAACCAGGTGATTTCTGCTATGACATAGTTGCTGTATGTTCCTGTTACCAGTCACTGTGTGACAAACCAACCCATACCTTAAGGCTTAAAATAATGACCATAATTATTTTGCTCATGAATCTGCAATTAAGGCAGGGCTAGGTAGAGATAACTCATCTCTGCTCAACTTAGTGAAGCTAAGGTTTTACAGCTCAAAGGCTAAGTCTGGGATAATCTGAAGGCTTGTTTACTCATACTTCTGGTGGTCGATGCTGGCTGTTGGCTGAGTCCTAAGCTGGGCTGTGGGCTGGAACACCTACCTACTACCTCTCCACATGGCCTGGGCTTCCTTACAACATGATGGCTGGATTGCAAGGGGGAGCATCTCAAGAGACAGAGTCAGATGGAAGCCATGTTGCCTTTATGATCTAAGATTGGGAGTCACCAGTGTCACCTCTGCCACATGCTCTGTTCATCAGAGAAGTTCAAAGGGAGGGGAAGTAGACCCAATCCATAATAAAAAGTGGAAAGATTCTGGAAGAGCTTGTAGGGCTGGAAATACTGCTGTAGATATTTTTGGAAATACATGATCTGCCATACTGCTTCCTGCTGCCTGCTTCCTAACTCTCTGGAGACTCATGGAACCCCGTATTGCCCTCTGTCTGGTCTGTCTGTTAGCATCCTCTCTAATTTCTACTCCATCCCCTTTTGCTTAAGCCAACAAAAGTCAGTTTCTTTTGCTTGCAACCAAGAACCCTGACTCATAAAGCAGTGAAGTGGGAAAAAGCATGATGAATCCAAGGGACAAAGCGAAAGCCAATGTACCCAAAGTGACTTGCAGCTCAATACCTTCTTCTTGACATAGGTCAGTGGCCCTGACCTACAATTCCTAGATATCAACCAACAAGGGGGATTCAGAGGCCAGTACCTTGACTCTGACCACTTCAATAGCTTCTCATTTGTGTCATCTTTGCAGTTTCTGTATGCCTAAAAGGCTGTCCCTCAGAAAGATCCTTGACATTCTATTTATTGGTCTGGCAGAGTGGGTTTTAAGACTCTTTTTCTTTATCTCCACCAAATTTTTACATACCTCTCTGTAGTCAGTCCCCTTCCCTCAATTTATGACTCTTTTTAAATCGAAGCAAAAAAGACAAAGGGATGATTGTGGTAGTGATGGTGCTTGTATTTGTCAGGGTTCTCCAGAAAAATAGAACCAATAGGATGTAGATATCAGATTTGTCAGCCTCCATAGTTGTGTGAGCCAATTCCTTAATCAAATGCATTTCTATGTACTATCAATGAATAATCCAAACCAAAATTTAAAACATATTCACAATGGTAAAAAAAAAAAACTTAGATGTAAATTTAACAAAACACATGTATTTATATGCTGAAAATGACAAAATGCTGGTGAAAGAAATGAAAGAATATCTAAATAAATGGAGAGACATACCATGTTCATAGATTGGAAGACCCAACGTAGTTAAAAAGTCAGTTCTACCCAAAATGATACACAGGTCTAACGCA